AGGGAAAGGGAGAGGGTGAGGAGAGAGAGGGAAAGGGAGAGAGTGAGGAGAGAGAGGGAAAGGGAGAGAGTGAGGAGAGAGAGAAAGGGAGAGAGTGAGGAGAGAGAGGGAAAGGGAGAGAGTGAGGAGAGAGAGGGAAAGAGAGAGAGTGAGGAGAGAGAGAAAGGGAGAGAGTGAGGAGAGAGAGGGAAAGGGAGAGAGTGAGGAGAAAGAGAGAAAGGGAGAGAGTGAGGAGAGAGAAAAAGGGAGAGAGTGAGGAGAGAGGGAAAGAGAGAGAGTGAGGAGAGAGAGAGAAAGGGAGAGAGTGAGGAGAGAGAGAGAAAGGGAGAGAGTGAGGAGAGAGAGGGAAAGGGAGAGAGTGAGGAGAGAGAGAAAGGGAGAGAGTGAGGAGAGAGAGGGAAAGGGAGAGAGTGAGGAGAGAGAAAGGGAGAGAGTGAGGAGAGAGAGAGTGAGGAGAGAGAGGGCGGTGGTGCATCAGCAGCGCGACAGGTGGTTGGGGGGTTGGGGGTTTAGCATGCTGGACTTAGCACGCGGATCCCATGAAAACAGTTGCCTGACCCCTGGGGGGCTCCTTAAAGATACCCCATTATGTTATAAGTATCACGCTGCGGAGATGGGCAGAGGTGTAAAACGATAAGTTCCTGGCCCAGAATAAATACGTCAGCTACCGGATGATAATGAATCACACCACGTGCTTCGGGCAAGGCAGCGATGCTACTTAATGTGTGTGTTTTAGAATGAGCCCCCCCACCCCCCACGGGAATTATTATCTAGTTCAAAGGATACAGTCTGTCCTATGATATACTTTGCAGTGAGCACCATATTTCAGGCCGATGGGGAATCACAGGGGCGGCTGGCAAACTGGCTACGCGGGGAAATTTAAGCCGTGTATATCTTTGGATGCATTTCTGTCATTTCGCTGCAAGTGTCTGCTAAAAAAAGTAATAAATAACGCACATTATTTAAATGCTATTCTGTATTATAAATATCACACTTTAAGTAAATGGGAGTAACATTTTGGTTTGTAGTGTAACTACAGAGAGACTACAGATACACAGGTTGACAGACACACTCCCCCCTCGCTCTGTGCGTCAGGAGTCCTGTGGGTTTCCTACCCCAGCCCAGCGTGTGACTCGTCAAAGTGGCATCAATATAATGCCCTTTGTGTTTGCATGACTACATCCCACGCCAGCCTGCCACTCCGTCCAGGGCGTACCCTGCCTAGTGTCCCGCCTCACGCCAGCCTGCCACTCCGTCCAGGGCGTACCCTGCCTAGTGTCCCGCCTCACGCCAGCCTGCCACTCCGTCCAGGGCGTACCCTGCCTAGTGTCCCGCCTCACGCCAGCCTGCCCCTCCATCCAGGGCGTACCCTGCCTAGTATCCCGCCTCACGCC